ATGCCCAGGTTGCGGGCTCGATCAATGACTCTCTCATCATTGATGTTTCTGTCTCTGTCTCTCCCTCTCCCTTCTTCTGTCTGAAATCAATAAAGATATATTTAAAAAAAAAAAATGATGTGTCTCGGTGCAGGTCTTCAAGGTTTATTTATACAGTTGCATATGATAGGATTTTCTACTTAAAAAAAAAAAAATTACCTTTATTGTTGAAAGTATTATAGGTGTCCCATTTTTCCACACTTGACTCCCTCCACCATGCATCTGCCCCCACCCCAGGCCTTCACTTTATTATTGTCTGTGTCCATGGGTTATGCATATAAGTTCTTTGATTAATCTTGTCCCACCTCCCCCCTACCCCCCTTCCCTCTGAGATTCCTCAGTCTGCTCCATGCTTCCATGTCTCTGGATCTGGTTTCTTGCCCCTGCTCCATTCCTCCCAGGCAGACCATTCCTAGTCTGTCTGCCTTCTTTTTCAATGTAAGATGCAATAGCTTGTAGTCTCTTTCTCCAGACCCTCTTTCACTTTCATCAGCAGATCCCTAGCTGTATTTCCATCTCATCTAAAATGGTTTAGTCCTTTCAAATGAGGTCCATAAGGTAACTTGTGTCATTACAAATTTAAGATCTAAAATCTCCACTGGACCTGCCTTGTCTCTAATCTACCCTTTATCTCAGGACAACTCTCTCTCCCATTTCCCCGATAAACTGTTCCAGACAAACTCTCAAGCCCCATTCTCAGCCACTCCTCTCAACTTCTTCAGGTAGCCTTGTGTTCATCAAACAAGATCATCCTCTCTCTACTTTCCTGCCTTCTGACTTACCTGTATCGATTGTCATTCTTTTTCACTTAGTTCCAGCCGCAGGGGGAAAGTGGCCATGATGCTGAGGAAGACCACTCAGTCTTCCCGTGTTCCTGACCCTGTCTTCTCCTGCTGTTTAGGACCTGACTGCATCCGCCTCTGCTGTCTGTCTTTGGTGTGCTTATACTTCCTCATCATTCTCAGTTGATAAATTTCTGTATCTTTTCTGTCTTTAATTCAGTAAATCAAGTAAATTTTTCCTTGACTCTCCTTAAAACCCCTTCCAGTAAATATGGAAACCTGGAAAAATTAAAATAGGTACTGATTTTAATGCTGTAGACATTTGGCATTACCTTTGTCTTTTACCTTAGGCTTTTATTCTTTGTTTTTTTCTTTGAAATCCCTTATACCTTTTTTTACCCATTTCCTTTTTAAGTTCCTTCTCTTCTTTAGGATGTAGATGTATGCCTTTAGCCCAGTCCCCTTTGAACCTTTTACTGTCATGATTTCACATATGACATAATTGATAACATGAAAAACCTTTCTGTAATACTTGGCAATCCAGTGGCCCACTAGACATTTCCACTGTATGTCTCACCCACAGGTACCTCTCATAATATATTTAAAACTCACAAATATCCTTTTTGGACATACTTCTTTATTCTCCGATTCTTTTGGTGTCACAACCATTCACCATGTCACCCAAGCTAGAAATACAGGTGTCACTCTCCACTGCGCCTTTGTGCTCTTCTCTCACATGCAGTGAATCACCAAAGTCTCCCAACCCAGATTCTCCTCCTCTCCCTTCTCACCCCTGTACCACTGCCATGAGTTAGGCTCCTACTAATCTGGAGTATTACATCTTGACAGTAAGTTCCCTAGCCTAGTTTTGTTGTTGATGTGAAATATGTCTTCCAAACAGCTGTCAAAGACATCTCAAATGCACATTCATCTGTCACCCCTGGCTTGATAGTCATGGCCCTCTGTGATCTGCCCATTGCCTAGTTATTAACCATATTGCTTCCCACTGCTGACCACAACCTTTGTGCAGTGGCACCACTGCTTGTAGTTCTCCAGGTAGGCTGTGCTGGTCCTCACCTCTGTAATACCGTGCAGCACTTAGAAACTCTTACCCTGACCCAAAGCCTGCGACTTCCCTGCCTTCAGAACTGTTCACTCACCCTTTAGGACTCTGCTGGAGTTTCCCATTCCCTCCCTCTTCTACTCTCCTCTGCTTATCTTTATGTGTAAAATCCTTAGAGCAGTGCCTGTCATAAGGTTAGTGTGTATACATGTTGCTTATTAATATTATTACTACATTGTATTTTGATTTCATTTTGGGGTCCTTTCCTCCATCAGTGGCAGATCCTAGCAATGACTGAACGATGGCTATATAGTATTCCATCAAGTTGCTACATTGTATTTCAATTGTTCCCTTATGGGACAAGTGTAAATTTGTAAGCTTTAAGATAATACCTTGTTGTAAGCTTTCTCATACCTAGGATCGTTTCTATGGCATAGATTCCTAGGAGTGCGATAACTGAGTCAAAAACTTCAAGTATTTTTATGACTCTTATATAGCCATATCTTTGTCTTTTGTGGTGTCTTATAATATGCCATATTTTTTTGCAGTCTTGTTAATGACATTGGGTATTTCTCTCCCAGATTTAATACCTATAGAATAATACCTTTAATACTTTAATTTACATTTCTTCAACAAGTTAAGTAGAACATTTTCCCAATTACATATATGTTTGTGACAACTGGCTCTTTGTCTTTTGGAGCCTAGAAAATGATCTTAGGTGTTTGAACAGGCTTTTAATATATTTGAGATATAAACCTTCTGTGATGTTTGCTTAGGTTATCTCCAATTTTTAACTTTGATGTTAATTGTATAGATGCTTTAAAATTTTATGTAATTAAATATATTTATCATTTTTAATAGTGTCACTTGCCACATAGCTTAAAACTATATCCTTCATGATTTGCAATCTGTCATTTTTTGGTCTTGATTTATGAATTTTTAAAATTCCTAAGCTCTTTAATTTCAACTGGAAATCTTTTTTTATATATAATAAAGCCTTTTCCAGTTGCAGTATACATAACAGCATTTAAAAACATCTTCCTCATTGTTTATGATGCTTATTTGCTATGTAAAATGTCTGTTTTGATCTCTTGTTAAAGAAGCTGCAATTCACCCTGGCTGGTTTTTTCAGTGGTTAGAGCGTCGGCCTGAGGACTAAAGGGACCCAGGGTCTATCCTGGCCAAGGGCACATACTTCGGTTGCAGGGCCTTGTGTGGCCCTGGCTGCATGCAGGAGGCAACCAATTGATGTGTCTCTCTCACACTGATGTCTCTCTCTCTCTCTCTCCCCCCCCC